CCTGGGTGGGTGGGTGGGGGTGGGTCCAGGGGGCAGGGGCAGGGGGCACAGAGGGCGCTGTGGTGTGGGAGTTACGACAATACACACACACGCGCACACACACCACCGCAAAATATCAGCTGCCGAGAAGTGAAGAAGTAAGATGGGAGAGAGCCCCCTCACATAAAACACACACATACACGCCCATGCGCACCCCCTTATCACCCCATCCTTTTCCCCAGCCCCAAAACAGAAATACCAAAATACACACACACGCACCTGCAACGCCGCGTGTAAGTCCTCCTCCCGCCGCCTCGCTGCCTCCAGCTCGGCCTCGTGCGCCGCCCGCATAGCGGCACAGCGCGACTCGAAGTCCCGTCGAGCCGCCGCCAGCGCCGCCTCACGTGCCTCCACCGCCAGCTGCTCAGCCGCCAGCAGGTCCGTGTTGTACTGCTGGCGGGCCTCCGCCAACTGGTGCTCCAGGGAGGCAGCATGGGACATAAGGCCCTCAATTTCCGCACGAAGCTCCGCCTCGGCCTGGACGTTTTAGTTAGTGGGTTTTGCACACCGGGGTATTACTTTTTTTTACTCCAAACGTCAAACAGAAAGCTGCCGACGTTATCTGCACGCGGGTTGCGGTTGGTTCGGCAACACGGTTACGGCACACCCGCAGCCCTCACCCTTCCGCCACGACGTCCCCTTCCCTGTTAAGCCCCCCTGCATCATGGTCAAGGGCTCTCCCCCCCCTCCCGCACCCGCACCCTGCTGGCGGCCGGTTGAGACGGCGTCCGGGCGTCAGGTGACCTACCTGCGCATCGACCCCCCCACCGGCCCCCTCCCGCTCTCGTCGGTGCTCCCCGGTGGATGCCGCCGCCGTCAGCGCCGCGCTCAGCTCCCATGCCTAAAGAGAGGACCAGTGGACGAGCAGTGGACGAGCATGTTGACGAGGAGGAATGATTGGACGAGAGGACGTGCGAGCGAGCGATGCTCCAACGAAGTGATGCGTGAGTGGGGGTGAGAGGGATGGCTAGGCGGATGTGACCATGTGAATGGACCGGGGGGGGGGGGCGGAGGAGCGCCCTAAGCCCCAGGCCCGCGGGCTCTGGTGAGCCCTGGGGCAATCGGAACGAGGCAGCAGCCGTGAGACCTCGGTGCCACCTCCCAGTGGGCGGGGGAAAGACTGTGCAGTGGGAACAAACCGATAAGGAAGATAGTTGCTGTGTACACGCATACACGCATATAAAGGCATACACACACAGGCATACCAGGTCTTCGATGCCTCGGCCCAGCGCGGCGCCTGCCTCCCTGGCCGCCTGCACCGACCCACGGGTCGCCTCCAGTTGACAGCTCAGCTCCGACAACTCCGCCTCGCGCTGCGCCACTCGGGCGGCCAGACCGCCTAGCGCCGCCTCAGTTTCGGAGCGCTGCGTGGCGGCGGCGGCCTTCAGGGCCTCCTGCTGCACATGAGCCTCCTGTCCATCGTGGCCCGCGCGGGTGGGGTGGCCAGATGGCACCAGGGAGGGGATCATCGGCAAGCAGCTCATTCTATACTTCCACACAAACACACACAAACACCCGGGGAAACCCCTCGCCGAGGCCACCCGCCACCATCATCTCCCCCCCACACCCCCCCACAACCCGCCATGCGACCCACGCACCTGCAGCTTGGCGGCCAGCTCCGCCTCCCTCGCTGCTGCCGCCTGCTCCAGGGACGCCAGCGCCGCCGCGTCCGCCGCCCTCTGGGCCTCCATCGCCAGTCTGAGGACCTCCAACTGCCGCTGAGCGGATTCCTGAGGGAGCAGCGCACATACGTACACACAAACAGGGTTGGGCGGGTGGAATCATACGCTGCAAGGAAATCAGAAATGAACTGCCTGCCATAAGGCGTCCAAAGTTTGCAGCTGCCCCTAGGGAGTGAGTCGTAAGCGATGATGAAGTCATCGACCCGAGTGGTTGGGCGGGTGGTAGGGTGGTAGGGTGGGAGGGCGGGCGGGCTCCAGGGCCCCCAGGGGTGATGGACCGGACCGTTACATGCCATGCAAAAGCAATTCCGACTGCCGACGTCCAAAGGAACCACGGGCGGGCCCCTGCAGCTGTGACCGCAGCTACTAGTTCCCGGCGAGGGGCTGCCGGAAAAGGGCTAAAGGGTCTTTTTGGGGGGGATTCGCATTTTCGCATTCGATCTCTCACCTCACCACAAACCCCCACCAACAACTCGCCACTAACCCCCCCCTTTCCCCGCTCACCCGCATCTCCTCCAGCTCCCGTTGGTGCCGTTCCGCCGCCTCCGCACGTGCCTCCGCCTCACTCGCGGCCCGCTTAGCTGCCTGCTGGGCCTGATGGCGCGCCTGGAGCGGGGGAAAGGGGAGGGGAGGGGATGCATGCAAGAAGCAAACGATGTGGGGACCGAGGCGCATATGAGGGCGGTTAGCATATTTTTTGCAAATACTTGTGCGGGTGGTATACATTCTAATGTGTATGCGTGCATGCGTGTGTTACACCTCCGGAGGGTAACCAACTCAAGGTGTAACACACACACACACACACGATGTATTATGTATATAATTTGCAAGAATGCAAAAGTACAAAGCGGAAACCACTCTCATGCCTATATATCCAAAAAGGAAGCGCACACAAAACCGCGGAAAAGATGGCGGGAGTAGGGGGAAACCACAGACGCGTGAGATAAGACTGTTATTCCGGGATTAGACACAGATACTGCATCAGGAAGGTTTTAGAAGCTACCGACCGGTAATGACTTGGGTAGTAGTCATCGTGGCAACGTGGCGGGGCGGGGACTGAACGGATTGAGACGAGGAGTAACGATCCCGCCGGCACAGCGAGCAGCAACAAAAACTACAACACCAAACTACGATCCTCGCCTCAACTTTACCTTTACCCACAGGCCAAGTCTTCGTCCACCAAACACCGTCACAAAGAAACCACAGTAACCGCTTAGAAGCGAGTACAGCAAATGTACGGCACATTAAGAAGTTCAAATTCTCTATCCGGCCTGACTCAGCCTGATTCCAGTAGGGGCAGTGAGACACGCCGTTTCGCACGCGCCGCCACCACCTGCCTCTTCGATGTTTCTTAGAAGGCCAGCCTCTCCCACATACGATTCCGCACGCAGGCGAGCTACGCTGTCCTCCGCCGCCTTTGCGGCGTCGGCATCGCCGCCGCTGCCGCGGCGCTCCGAAACCGCCTCCGCCAACTGCCGCCGTAGCTCCTCCAGCTGCCGCAACAGCTCAGCCTCGCGCGTACGGAAGCCCGACCGTGCCGCTGCCGCCGCCGCCTCGGCAGCCGTGGCACCGGCGTCAGCGGACTGTACGGCGCTGCGCAGGTCTCGAATCAGCGCCTCTGCGGCGGCGTTACTGTCAGCCGCGACTGCGGTGGCTAGCGCCGCCGCCTCCGCCGCCTCGGTGTGCTGTTGCCGCAGCGCCTCTAGCTGCCCCTCCAAATGCGCCACCTCGGCCGCTGAGGCAATCCCCCCCACACACAGACACACATACACACACAAGCATGTAACACCACGGCCCGGAAACAGCCCGACCGGCGTCATCAGTCGAACCTATCACACCAGTCAAACCACTTAGGGTTAGCAGACGAAAGCAGGGCAGCAGCGCGGATCAGGCAAGAAGGTTCTAGAAGGCATATCAAGGTGCAGGCAGCAGGCGAGGAAGCTGAAGACACCATCCAAGCAAACCAAGCGATAGTCCAGAAAGGGGCAAAGGGGCAAGCAGAGGGACACAAAAGAGCTGGGCACCCTCTGTCCATCTGCACCACCCAGCACTCATGGCCCCTCCATCCCAACGCCCCATCTCCCCCCCGTCTCACTCCCCCCTTCGCCGACTTCCCCCCAAGCTCCAGCCGGACCTGAGCACACTGTCGTCCCAAACCCGAATTCAAGCGCCTGGTGGTTCGCGGAACTCAACATTTTGTAGTCTACGCGTCGCTCCCCCCTCATCTTTCTCTCCCTCCCTCCCCCAATCCCAGTAAGAATCTATAGAGTTAAACCACACACACATACAGACATACACATGAAAAAGCACTCGCACGGGCCCCTCCCTTTTTACCGTGCAGCTCCTCTGCCTCACGCCCCGCCTGCTGTGCCGCCGCCATCTCTACCCGGTGCTGCTCCCGAGCCGCCTCCATTGCACTCCTCAAGGCGCTGACAGCCGCCGCCGCCGCCGCAGAGGAGGAGGAGGCCGCATCCACATCGACCTGGCGCGAAGACGGAGACCCTGCCGCCGCTGTTTCCGCCGCCGCCGCCGCCGTGGTGGTGGTAGTGGCGGCGGCGCCGCCATCGGCAGCGGCAGCTCTGCGCACCGCCGCCGCCACTGCCGGGCCGCCGGTAGCCACCAAGCGCGCCAGACGGTTCCGGAGCTCATCCCGGGCCTCCACCACTACCATCTCCCTGTCCATCAACTGTATTCATGCATATGCAGCACATACACACCCATGTATACATGGCAGCTTACATAAATATGTACTCATTTATATATACAGACAAACATGGACACATCTAATGCTCGACAGTCGCCACCACCCAATTCATGAGATCTCCATCCCCCGCTGCCACCACCACACCCTCACCCATTCCGCTCCCCAGCGGCTAGGCCTACCTCGCGCTTCTCCGCGGTCGAGGGCACAGGGCCCATCTGTCTCGCCCTGGCCGCCAGCTCCCCCTCCGCCGCCTGTACGGCTCTCAGCAGCTCCCTCAGGCTCTGGAGCTCCAGGGGGGCCACTCGGCCCACCAGGGCGGACACCGCCGCGGAGAGGGCCTTACGGGAATATAAAAGATTCGCACCAAGGGGAGGATGTGGCAGGTGGGGAGGTATGGTGGACGTTAGAAATAATAGGAAGATGCGGCTTCTCCGGGGGGGGGGGTGAAGTGGAGCGGCGGCAACTCAAACAAAAAAAGAGTTCGTAATGATGGAAGGAAGATACGCGCTGCTGTGTCAGGGGTCCTCGGCGGGCGGGGGGGGAGGGGGTGTGGGCGAGGGGGTTAACCTCTAGCCTCGCGGGTAGAGAAATCAGGAAGCCCCGGGCCTGAGCGGGAAACAGAGGGCGCGAACGGTTTTGGTCGCAACCTCTCCAACGGCAGCGGGAGGTTGAAGGCTAGGGAGTGGATATTTGTGGGTTTTTTTGTTATCCATTTTAAAAAAGTAAGTAGAGGTTGGCGGCCCGGGCCCACTGCCCCTTCCCACCCACCTGCGGCCCCATATCAAGAAGCGCAGGCGCAGGCGGCACCAGCATCCGGGCCTCGCCCTCGGCTCCGCCAGCAGACGACGAGAGGTTGCCGTCATGACCGGGCGGCCCCGGCGCCGCGGCCCCGGCGGCTGCGAGATCCGACTGCTCGGTGATTTGCGACAGCTCCGCCAACCTGGACGCCGTACCACGGTTACGTCATTGCCGCGTGTGTACGGCACATGAGATATCGCACCATGGGGTAACGTGTGAGCGAGGCAGGATGTTGTGTGTGTGTGTGTGCACGCGCGCGCGTGTGTGTGTATAGACGATGTGGTACATGGCGTACAGCCCAGACTTAGACACTACTGCCGCCGCCGTCACCATTACCCCCGCCACACTCCGCCCAGCAAAACCCGCCATCCCGCATACCCGCACACACTCCTCGTCCGCAACCCCCTTCCCCAAACTGCACCTTCCCGCCTTCCACCCCAGCTCCATCCCAGCTCACCCACGTCCCCAGGCGGTTATGCCGCTTCCGACATCAGCACTTTTATAACCTACTGTTTTTTTTCGCAAAACTGCCGAAGCAAGTTTTGATACAAGTTACAAGTTCCGCACACAAGTGCGGGTGTGTCCGTAAAAGCCGGGGGAGGGGCCCATGGACGTTATATTGGTATTGATGCGGGTATTGACGCGGGAGGCCATCGGAATACAATAATCACCATTTCATTTTGCACCTCCGACAGGGATTAAGCCTCTGTTGAAGAACACAATACCCAATTACGTAATTAAGAAAAAATACTTGCGTATAAGGGTAACAATACCAGCTCACATAATAGTAGGCTCAAGCACATACCCCCCCCCTTGGGCCCCCCTCCCTCGCCTATTCACCTGGCCTGGAACTGCCTCCTGGTCTCCGCCAGCTCCCAGGCTAGCTTGGTGTTTCTGAACTTAGCTGCCCTCAGGGCCTTACGAGCTGCCTCCCACTGGGCGAAGTAGGGGCCAGCCGCCACAGCCGCCACATCCACCACATCCTTGTCCACCTCCTCATCCACCTGGTCATGCTCTACCTGGGGGTCTGAGGAATCCAACGCGCCGGCCGCGATATCGGGCAGTGGTTGCTGTTGCTGGTGCTTGAGTTGCTGGTGGTGGGATTCGATCTGGGGACGGGCGCTGACCGTGGCGGTATTGGTGTTGGTGGTTGTTGCAGCCGGTTCGGCTGCAGGCGGGGAGTCGTAATCGGTACTTGTGTCGTGCATGAATGTGCTCATCATGAAGACAAGGAACTGCAGCAGCGGGTGGTCGCCAGCCGGAGAGCGATCTGTGTGTGGGGGGGAGGTTGGGGGGGGAGGGTGAGGGGAGGAAGGAGGGAGGGAGGGGTAAAGAGAGGAACAGGATTACGTGGAATAGGGTTACAGCCGTCATGGGAATCGGGGCCGTGAAAAATGTTTATTACTTTGCGCCGCGATACGGGAAAGGTGGGGGCCGTGTGCGACACCCTACACTGCCAAGATACACTGACGCGGGCATCCGGGGGCATCGACGGCATATACCGACAGACATACTCACAGGTTGATGGTTTCAGGGACACAATATGCGGCATGTCGGCAAACACCTACCGTTCGCCTCCTCGCCCAGTACGACGACTTCCGACGTCACGGTTGGTGTGTGCTGCTGCTGCTGCTCCGGAACCTCCATCACCACCTCCCCTTCCAGCTGCTGTAGCTCCGGAGGCAGATCCCGGGGGTAAGGCCTGGGCACAACCACCACCTGCAATCAGGGGGAGGTTGAGGGGGGACGAGGGAGCGGGGGGAGGGAGGGAAAGAGGCTGAGGGGGACGGGGGCATTTCTGTTGGGGCCATTCTGTTGTGGTGATGGTCGTGATAGTATGCCGGGTGCGAGCTCGGTGGTGACAGAAGGAGCTGTCTGTCCGTGTGCCTTAAGAGTGCCCCCAACCTGTCAACCAGACATAACGGAGGCGGAGGAGCAGCCTGACCTACGCGGTTATGTCAGACGGACCGACATACAGGACCGACTTGTACAAGACTCTGACCGAGCTTCGGCATGACAAGGATTTAGGAAAGGGACCGGCCGGCAAGCATAGAAATAAAAAATAAATAGAGTGGAACCCCCCACTAATACGCGCGGTAATGATCTTATATCGTACTACACCACCCTTAAATTGCCAGTCGAGAGCATTCTTAAGGTTTTTGCCAAGCGGCTTGATGCTCGGTGGGAGTGCCCGAATACCTTGGGTGACCCCCGCGTCTTCCCCATAGGAATTACCGGAGCAAAGGCGTGTCGCTATATGAACTGGATGGGAGCTGCCCCGTCAAGGGGTGCGCGTCTTGATTGGTTGGAGCACACTAAAGGGACCATGCCCCAGCGACTTCATCATGTGCTCATGCGTTTTCGGTTAGGCTGTTGGGAGTTAGAGGTTAATAGGCCTAATGGGCGTGAGCGCACCGCGCGTACCTGCAGGCTTTGTGACTGTGGAGCGGTTGAAGATGAGTTGCATGTTTTCGAAGAATGTCCCGCTTACACGAGCATACGGGCTAAGTATGATGGTGACCTAGTCCTTACGGGGCGCAGCATGCGCACCACTATGACTGAGGCGCCACCCCTGGCATTGGCCAGGTACCTCTCGGAAATCTGGGAGGCCAGGCACGTCGCGCTGAGGCGCTTCGCCCTGAAGCGGACGAGGGAGAATGAAGATGACCTCCCGCGTACCCGCATCAATACCAATACAACGTCCATGGCCCCCCCGGCTTTTACGGACACACCCGCACTTGTGTGCGGAACTTGTAACTTGTAACATAGAAACCCCACCAAACATCTAAAGATGCCACCACCACCACCACCACCACCCCGCCTCCTCCCCTCAGCCCCTGTACATACTGCTCCATGCTCTCCTGTCCCAGCCCAGCCCCTTCTCCCACCCAGCCCCTTCTCCCTCCTTTCCTCCCCCTTTTCCTCATGTACGCCTGACATTTACCGGTGTTGTGGGTGTGTGGCCCCAGTAGCACGTGAACAGCGGCTCTGCCACGGCGCTACAGCCCGCTAGCACCCGGGACAGCTGCAGGGAGCGGTTCGGTCCCGGCTCCCAGCTGTAGCGGCCGTTGTCGTAGTAAACCACCTGGTGGACGGGGGGGGCGGACAGAGGCGGTGGACAGCGGGTAACAGAGGGGGCCCCAGAGGGGGGAGCCGCCCGCGGGAGGAACCCTATGCAGAAAGCAACGCAGCAGAGCGGTGGGGGGGGGAGCGGGGAAAACGGTGTAGAGAGGCGCAAGATGTGGGGGGCAAGACGAACACCCCCTGTTAACCCCAGCCACCCCTCCCCAAGTCACCACCGCCACCACCTGCACACAGTAAACTATTCGCTTCTGTGTGAACTAACTTCAGTGTACCGCCTCGCGACCTCTGTTCCGGGCCCCGCGACTCCTCTGGCCCCCATCCCCCATCAAAACACACACGCCCCTACACACAGACGCACCTTGGCCTCTACGTCCTGCTGTACCGGCAGCAGCAGCTCCGCACTCCAGCAGTGCCCCGGGCCCCACTTGAGCTCCACGCCGCTGGACGGATTCCAACCGCCCATAGCGGGGACACTGCCAACCAACACCAGGTGCTGACCTGGCAGGGTAACGAACTGGGGTACGGTAAAATGGACGAGCGAAAGAACCTGACGATCGCTCAGGCTGGCACCAGCGGCGGCGTCACCGTCGCAGCCACAGCCATCAGGCGGCGGCAGCGGCGGAGCCGCTGCCGCCGCATTGCCGTTCACCTCCACTGGCAGGTCGGGTCTGTAGAGGGGTTGAGAGCAGCCGGTGATGCCCCAGTGGAGGAGCAGAACGTAGTGGCCTGCTACACCGCGAGCCGGGGGCCTTGGTACGGCGGCGGACGGGGCTGACGGATGCGGCGGAGGCTGCGCTGATGATGGCGGCGGCGGTAGGATGTCCTCCGGCGGCGGTACTTGCAGTGTGAGGGTGCGGTTGGGTCCTGCCTCCCAGCGCTGATCTCCAGGCCCCGGACCTAGGACCACCAGCTGGAGCAGGCAAGGGGGCATCACACACACACACATACATACATACGTATACACACGCGCGCGCAAGAGACGTGGGCGTGGTATGGCTGTGGGTTTTCCCTTCCTCCCTCTTTCCTTCGCTCCCTCTTGACCCGCGCTTCCCCGTTCTCACAGCACATTATCCGTTGTATTTTTGGAGTGTTTGCACCACCATATGATTTCCCCCATTACCCCCTCATCTCCCCCCCCAACCCACCTTGACCTCCATCATGGTCCCCAGCGGCAGCTCCACCTCCCCCCGCCAGATGTGGCCGGGGGAGCAGCTCAGCTCTACACCCCGACCCACTTCCCAGCCACCCAGCTCGGGAAGACTGCCCACCACCACCAGCCGCTGACCTGGGCCCCCAACGAACAAGGGAACCACCACCTGCACACGGACACGGAGACCGCTACCGGCGCCGGCGGAGGACGAAGGGGAGGAGCTGGTGGCGGTAGTGGTAGTGGTGGCTGCGCCAAGGCTGGTGGTGCCTTTACTCGGGGCTGGCCCTGGAGGTGGGGCCTGTACCCGGGGATAAGGATAGGGGTAGGGAGGGACATGAGAGAAGGGAAAGTGGGACGTGCGTTTGTATCTGTGTTGATATCCGGTATGATACCCACCCGCCCACCCACTTACCTTGGGAAGCTGCGATCCACAACAGGCCTGCCAAGCAGAGCAGCAGGCCACATCATATCTATATTTCTCCGTCCGCCCCTTCCCCCTCCCTCTCTCTCACTCTCACATCACACTTTTCTCTCTCCCACCCACGCCCCCGATCTCCCGCCGTGTGTGACCCCACCCCACGTGCCGCATTTCACCCTCACCTCTATGTGGCTCAGCTCGTGGCCCCACTCACACAACACCAGCTGCTCACGAGGGGCCGGGGCAACCTCGGCCGGGGAACTCCACCCCCCAGCTAACCCCGCCGCTAGCCCCCCCGCCGCCGAAGCTACCTGCACGAACAAGTCAAAAGTGGGCAAGCAGCCAGCTATTGCTACAGCCGCACATCGCAGCAGCAGCAACGGCAGTAGCAGCTGTAGATAGCCAAGGTAGGCTGTCACGCACTACATCACGCATCAACTCCCCGCCACTGGGCGTGTTGTTTGCGAGCATGGAAGGCCGCCCGGCGGGGCCCGCATAGCACCCGGGAGACCATCCCTGGAGTATCATGAAGGCCGTCCCATTCACCCCATACCAGAGCTCGTTTTCCCGACCCCCGAGATACACACGCCTCAGCCCCTTACTTCTCCCCTCCCGCGTCAACACCCCCTCTCTACGCACACATACAAACATACACGAACCAATTCCATGCCCTCCCGGCCCCCCCCCAGCACGCACACACACATTCGTCACCATGCGTGTTGAAGGCGGCAGCTCTATCTACATTCGTCCATAGCGCATACAGCTCCGGCCTGTGGTACTCTTTCCCCTCCTCCACCCCCTCACCTGGAGCACCCGGTTCCGCCCCGGCTCCCACATGACCGTGTTGGTGCGGCTGTCCACCATCAACACCTGGGGGGGTCAAAAAAACAACCGCCCCAAGCACACACACACACACACGCGCAGGGCGCAACGCCGGAGGTTCACCGCCGGAGCCCCCACACCACACCACACCACCATGATTTGGGTTTAACGGATTTGGGTTTGGGGGTGATGGGGGAGGGCAGCGAGGACGGCCACAGAGGGTACGAGGGAGGAGAGCGTGACATGGCACAAAATGCCAGGGCGTAGGGTCGGCGGGCATTTTGGTGCGCGGGCTTAGCTTCCCGAGATGAGGGCTTACGAGAGTCCGTGCCAAGATGAACCCCCCGCAGCGCCACAGGGTGTCCGGCGAATCCTTATGCTCCCTGGCACACAGCCAGTCCCACGCCTTGTTTTCTTGCATGTAAGTCCCCGCCTCTTAGCCGTTATTCCCCCGCCCTCCACCTTCCGCGTTCGGCCTCAACTCCAGGTACCCCCGCCCAAGCCTCACTTCCACCCAGGTCTACCCAGGTCCACCCACCTTGAACTCCGTACCATGTGCCTGCTGCACCTCCAGTACCACCTCCCCGCTCCACCGGTGGCCCTCGCCCCACTGAAGAGCTAACCCCTTGCCGGGCTGCCACCGCCCTAACCGCTCGCAACTGCCGACAACCACCAACTGCTGACCCGGCTGGGATGCGAAGGAGGGTACCAGGAAATGCAGACGGACGGTGCGAGGCGGTGAAGGAGGGGTTTCGGAGCCTGCCGCCACATCAGTGGCGATGGTGGGCCCAGGGTTGCGGTCGTGGCCAGTAGCACCGCCGCTGGCGCTGCTGCTATTATGGCTGTTTGTGGCATAGCCGTTACTGGTTTCGCCGGGGATGGTCGCTGCTCGGCTGGGGCTGGTTTCAGCGCCAGGTTTGCTGCGGCTGGGCCCTTGTGGCAGTGCAGGGAGCGTCTGCGTAGCGCTACTGGTGTTTGAAGCTGGCAGAGAAGAAGAGGATGAGGAAGATGCGGCAGAGGCGCGGCGTGCGTCGCTGGGGCTGTGGTTCGAGTCGACAGGCTGTAAAGCCGTGGGCATGGTGCGAAAAGGGCCAGGAGGAAAACGTGCAGTCATGAGGATGAACATGCTTTTCCAGAAATTCGGTAAATCGACGGGCAGTAAGCTGATGTGACAAGGTGTAACGTGAAGACAGTGCAGCGGAAGGAAAGGGGTTTCCACGAATGTCGACATTTCCGCGCCAGTTCCTCCACAGGTGTCTTACCTCGCAACTGGCCCTGATGTAATATCCACGATTGAGCTTTGAACCCCATAACGCTATCGGATTGGTGAATACCGAGCTGAAGCCTGCAACACCCGGCATGGCTCCGTCAGGATTCAACAAGAAACGTCAGGTTCCATTTACCCAGTGAGCACAAGGGCTGTCAACAAATCACACACCATTTAAACGCTTTGCATTTTTAACAAGCGCCTCCGAAGTGTGCCTCAACGAATTAGGCAGTCTCGGCGGGGAGCAAACACTGTTGGAGACCAAAGCTGTTTCGCTTCGCACGCTACCCGCAGTAATCCACATCCTGACCACAACCTGTCCACTTCCTGTGTGCCGGGAGCTTGTTTGCCTGCTCACTGTAACGCTACCAAGCAAGTTGGGCACTCATCCTCGAAATCCTGTCTTTACCAGTCAGTTTCGAAGAATTTACGCTCATGTAGCGTATCGGTTCACGCTGCATTGACCTTAAGAAAGGTTTGCTGCTGTGGCGAAATGAGTCAAAATACCGTAAAACGAGGTAACGGTCGCTTTCCTGGCGCTACGATGGCGCTGGATGAATCCACGCGTTATTGCTACCATGCAGCATGCTCGCCGCCGCCTAACAGGACGCTCTGTTGCCGATTTAGCTTGCCAGTTGGTTTGCGCGCGCGACTGCTGTTCGTACAGCCGCTCTGTACTACATCGTCCAGCATGCTCTGCATACTACTGATGCTGTTTTTTCGTCATGCCCCAGGCTGACACATCGCTTGACAAATTGAATTATGATGATCATATACAAGTCAAGAATGCTTGCGAAAAATCCCAGCTTTAGGTTTCACATTTCTGAGCTCCCCGAGCGGCTCTAGGCTATGCAGTACATAGCGAACTCTGTAGGTTTCAGCTCACCTCATTAGGCCTTGGCGCGCGAAGAGCACTTCTAACGTTTCCTGCTATCCATGCGTTAGCAAATGTATGTGTAGCATAATATGAAACCGTGGCCGCAGACGCTTCATGGACAGATGGCGAGGATTTCACCTTTAGCAGTTTCCTTACATAAGGAAAGACGGCCGGCCGCGATGCTACTGCGATATCAGCGTGATGCAGAACAGCTTAGGGAAGATGATAACTAGCAAGGTTTAAATTAGGATAGAAACTTGTGAAAACACACGATATATCAGGCCGGCAAAGGCAAGCTACGTCCAACCCCACTAGCCGAAGCCACAGGGGTACACAGGGGTACGATAAACCCTTGTCGCATTCGTTGCTGTCAAGACAAAGGCCGCCCTAAAAATTCACAAAACCGCTGAGGGCCATGATAGGACGTTCCGTTTGGAGACCAAAGGGAATTCGACATCAGGTTGGGCTGCTTCGTTCGTGCCGCCAAGAGCGCCAAACTGCTGTGGGTTCAGTCGATGACTACTAGAATGGTCTGTTAAGCATCAGCCCAGATTAGCGCCCAAAGGGGATAACTGAGTTGCGGTGAGCCCACATATGTTCCAACATCCTCGCCAGATGTGCTGGCTCCCATTTCATGGCCTCCAGCATGCTCTGTTGATAATCGAATCCTTCTTCCGCCCGAATGTATCATTATAAGCTGAGCATTCCATTAACACATGTATGTTTCCATCCTCGACTTGGCGATTGGTGCCACAACAGCGGCAAAACCGCTGCTCCCTGGGGACATGGTACTTGCCCCTTGCTCTGTTTGCCCTTCAAAGCCCAGCAACGTATGCTGTGTGAGACAGGGGGATCGTATCGTCACCCTGCGGCCGCTACCCGGCATACCCTGCCTTCTCCGGTATTTCGGGGCACCCTCATCTTGTCACCCTAGCCGACTTCTCTGTGGATCGCTCAGATTCCGCATCCACCACCGGCATCCAACGGAATCTGCCGGATCAACGTCGTCTCAACTCCATTCCTCGTCAGCTCGCGGGTATAATTTATCCATGGTCACGACCCCTCATCGATTAAGGGCACTTTTACCTACCACCACAGGATTTGCGATCCTGACAGGTCTCGATCTCGGAACCTCCGGGGGCATTGCTGCGTGCTTAACCAGTAGTGCCCGACCTATATGTACGTTGCGGGACTGATAGCCATGTTGAAGGTGAGCCGCAAGTCCGTCGGAGGCGCCGTCGGAGGCGCCGGGCTCCGTTTAGCTTACGAAGCCGTTGCCAGATCCTCAAAGGCTGATACTTCGCCTGCCGGGCAAGGCAATTATGGCCATATCATTCTAATAGCTAGCTGAACGTGAAGGTGCCCTGGATCCTGCTCACGGCCGAGGTTGGTGGCGATTGCCGAAGTGGCCGCCCAGGCCTCACGTTCTTCTTGCAATTATTTTGGGAAACACCCTTTAGTATGCATAGAAAGCATTCATGCTAAAATGGCCACCTGCTGACTGCGGACCAAGGTGCGCCTTTCCCCACGCAAACGCGGTGTATTCACATGCCGCCGGAGTATTCACATCACGGTGTATTCACGTGCCGTATTATACACCGCCTGTAACGCCGCTAAGGCAGCCCTTGGCTCACCGGGTCAACGGTCTGGTACGGTACGCTTAAAATTAGTTATAAACTTCCAATACCAACAGACATTTATCAATGCCACAACTATCATTGCATTAAGTACCTTCGAAATTGTGCAAACTGCCGAGCTTTGTTACAATTTTGGTATCGAAGACCAACCGGTCAAAGAGACCTCGGGGTCGAGTACTCCCACCGCTTCCGCACCCTTTACAAACATTTCTTATCTAATCTACATGGCGAGCCCAGCAAGGAACCCGCTCCGCGCACGGTCTTCGAACGCTGATCAGGCGTCAGACCATTACCAGTTACGCCAGGTGAGCCCCACTAGGCACAGAGGCTCGTACACTTAAACCAGGCAGAATATGACAAGTACGTGAGGTGCGCCCAGTGAAAGGGTATCACGCCGCCGTCGCGACTGTTTGAAGTCATAAGACACACACTAAAAAAAACATAAGACAGCTCTGCGACGACACACCGCCCTTTTAGGGATTGCGGAATACACACGTTCTGGTCTTGTTTACGGTGTCCCAAACTCTGTCTTGGATTTGTTTCGCGCAAACCACAAACAGCTCGACAACCTTTCATGATCAATACATTATCTCCTCCGTTATGGCATATGTTGGGGCCCACGATGGCGCCGTGGGCGTGCGTGGGCCGGACAAGGTAAGAATGGGG